ATCTATCTATATCTATCTATCAGGCTTTTCCATCTATCTATCTATCTATCTATATCTCAGTCTTTTCTTCAAAGTCTTTTCATCTATCTATCTATCTATCTATCTATCTATCTATCTATCTATCTATCTATCTATCTATCTATCTCAGTCTGTTCATATCTATCTATCTGCCTGTTCGTATCTATGTATCTGTTCATATCTATCTATCTATCTATCTATCTATCTATCTATCTATCTATCTATCTCAGTCTTTTCTTCAAAGACTTTTCATCTATCTATCTATCTATCTATCTACAGCACAATAGATAAAATGATTTTTCACAAACTAATTTCACAGTAGATTAATTTTTTAAGATTTCAAGTTTGAGCTTTTGCGTTTAAAAAATATGTTATATATAAGTATAAGAAAACAACGTTATTGATGTGTTCCCTTCTATATCAATCAGTATCTATCTAACTATCTATGAATCAATTTTAATCTGTTCATATCTCTCTCTCTCTATCCCAGTTTGCATATCTATCTATCTATCTATCTATCTATCTATCTATCTATCTATCTCAGTCTGTTCATATCTATCTATCTATCTATCTATCTATCTATCTATCTATCTATCTATCGCAGTCTGTTCCTATCTATGCCTGTTCATATCTTTCTCTCTATCCCAGTTTGCACATCTATCTATCTATCTATCTATCTATCTATCTATCTATCTATCTATCTATCTATCAGTCTGTTCATATATATCTATCTACTTGTATCTATCTGTACATATGTTTCCGTCTATCTATTATTACACCCCTATTTGTACACATATCTCTCTCTTTCTCTCTCTCTCTATCTCTCATTATATATATATGTGTGTGTGTGTGTATGTTCCTAATTAAAATCATCATAGGACAGAGAGGTCTTGAACTGAAGGCATGAAACCTTCTTTTCTTGTTTCTTCAATTTATTCTTAATTCTTTCGTTCTCTTTTCTGTCTTCCAGGGTTACGAGATGGTGACATATCCCGACAAATGCTGTTCCTGTATCCCAAGTATGTGTTTTTCAATTTCAAGTCTTTATTGGTAAAGTTGATGAAGCAAATGCTGAAACAAATACTCCACCGCAAAATAATACCCTTTCCACTTTTTCAAACGAGACAATATTTTGTGATGATGTCAAGTTTGCTTTCTTTAAAAGCTTTTAAAATCCAGTCTGAAGCCAAGTGACTTATGCCTTAAAGAAAAGCCTAACATCTTCAACCAAGTAAACTTCTACTTCGAATAAAGATCCCTATATCTTGAATAAACATACACACATTTTCTATAAAGTCTATTTTTAGATTAAACATTGATAGGATTTGAGTAACGGTCCACATATTTTGAATAAAGGCCGGTACATTTTAATAAAAAGTATTTAAGTTTGGAATAAAATTACGTTTTAAATCAAGTTGTTTTCAATAAAGTTACTTTTATCTAAAAATAACTAGAATTACCTCAATTTATGTCCAATAAACATTGTCTCTCGAGTCTCAGGGTACGAATATTTCCAATAAGCTCTGTCTCTCGAATTTAGGGTATGGATATTTCTAATGAACCCTGTTTCTCGAATCTTAGGATATCAATATTCCCAATAAACACTGTCTCTCGAATCTTAGGGTATGAATATTTCTAATAAACCCTGTCTCTTGAGTCTTAGGGTATGAATATTTCCAATAAACACTGTCTCTTGAGTCTTAGGATAACAATATTTTCAATAAACACAGTCTCTCGGGTCAAAGGGTATGAATATTTCCAATAAGACCTGTCTGTCGAGTCTTAGGATATCAATATTTTCAATAAACACAGTCTCTCGAGTCTTGGGATATGAATATTTCCAATAAAACCCGTCTCTTGAGTCTTATGGTATGAATATTTCCAATAAACACTGTCTCTTGAGTCTTAGAGTATGAATAATATAATCAAATTCAGTTATATACAATATATAAACAGAAATTGATTGACGGATGATACTGGAAAACTTACTAAACAAGCAAGAACTTTAGGTCTGTTTCTTCAAGGTGTAAAATAAAGTTTCTTGGGTTATGTGGAGACGAGGGGTTCGCGTTATAGCCCAAACTTTTGACACTTGTAAGAATGCTATACATCTAAATGGGTGTCAGTGTAAGATTGATAACTTCATACAAAACAATTAGCTAAATATCTATCAGTTAAAAGCAAAGTTAGGAAAGATTGGTCGCCATTGGCTACTATAGTCAAAAATGGCAGACAGAAGTGATGAAGTTCAAACTGATATATTCATAACAGCTTCATAATTTTATTTTGAATAAATATTATTTTGAAGAATAGCAACATATATTTTTAATAAAGATCCATAGCATTTGAATAAACTTTTGAATTTTGAATGTATATATGTTAAATAAATGTAATTTTTTACATTGATATTCACCCTGTAAAAGACACAAAAACCACACGAAGCAGAGATAGAATAAATGGAGTAATAAAATAATAGTAATAATGAAGAGTGTATAGAGCCAGAGTGTTGGAATAAAAAGCAACGATAATAAGATGGAATAAAACTAGTAATGAAATAATAGTAATAATGAAGAGTGTATAGAGCCAGAGTGTTGGGATAAAAAGCAACAATAATAAGATGGAATAAAACTAGTAATAAAATAATAGTAATAATGAAGAGTGTATAGAGCCAGAGTGTTGGGATAAAAAGCAACAATAATAAGATGGAATAAAACTAGTAATAAAATAATAGTAATAATGAAGAGTGTATAGAGCCAGAGTGTTGGGATAAAAAGCAACGATAATAAGATGGAATAAAACTAGTAATAAAATAATAGTAATGATGAAGAGTGTATAGAGCCAGAGTTTTGGGATAAAAAGCAACAATGATAAGATGGAATAAAACTAGTAATAAAATAATAGTAATGATGAAGAGTGTATAGAGCCAGAGTGTTGGGATAAAAAGCAACGATAATAAGATGGAATAAAACTAGTAATAAAATAATAGTAATAATGAAGAGTGTATAGAGCCAGAGTGTTGGGATAAAAAGCAACGATAATAAGATGGAATAAAACTAGTAATAAAATAATAGTAATAATGAAGAATTAATATAGAGCCAGAGTGTTGGGATAAAAAGCAACGATAATAAGATGGAATAAAACTAGTAATAAAATAATAGTAATAATGAAGAGTGTATAGAGCCAGAGTGTTGGGATAAAAAGCAACGATAATAAGATGGAATAAAACTAGTAATAAAATAATAGTAATAATGAAGAGTGTATAGAGCCAGAGTGTTGGGATAAAAAGCAACAATAATAAGATGGAATAAAACTAGCAATGAAATAATAATAATAATGAAGAGTGACTTGATCAAGAATGACTAAATGATAAAACTTCAAAATAAATCCCTAATCGTACGCAATTCCACAGTAAATCCAAACAACTTTTTTTTTAAATTTTTCTCTGTGCCAGTGACGACCATTTTACCAACGACTCCAATTGCAACAACTGAGAATCCATGTAGCTGTCCACTCGGCACATTTGCTTGCCAAGACTGCAGTCTGTGTCTCCCAACAAACCTAAGATGTGACCAAGTCATCCACTGTGGCGACAGATCAGATGAGATTGATTGTAAATGTATTTTTAATGGAACTGTCCATCACGTGAGTTCTAAATCCTTTCCTCTATACCTTTTTTATTATCAATATATATATATATATATATATATATATATATATATATATATATATATATATATATATTGGCTCCCGAAAAATTAATTTCAGTTGAGCTCTCTGGGGAAGAGGTGTGGGTTTGTAAACAGTGACTATTATGGCTGATATAGCGAGACTCTTCGCAAAAAGCGAATTGAGTCACTGTTAGGTCACCGTGTGTATTTCTAAAAACAAATACGCTAAAATTCACTTTCATCCTTGCCGTCTGCCGACGGCTTAGTAGTAGAATCTCCGACTGACACCAATTCAGTCGGGTATCGATCCTAGCTAGAGGCAACCGGATGTCTAGCCACACTAATAAGCTGCGAAACAGTCTGTCTGTGGATGATAGAGAGATAATATGTATACAATCAGTAGTATTAAAAGTGCTCAATACTCGTGTGAAAAAACATAAATAACATGTTGAGATTTTAACTTTAAAAATCAAGACTAATGATTGCTATATTAATATAATATTATTATAATATAGCGTCATTAGTTTTTTTTAAGAAAAAAAAAAGAAAGAAAGAAAGCCCTAAGAGGTCATTTTAAAAAAATCGCCTGAAGATACCGTAAGGTTGAAACTAAGGGAGCGTGTTCAACTGACCTCTTGATTTTTAAAGTATATATATTTAGAATTTTTTTAATTTTAATTTTAATTAATTTTATTATTATTATTATTATTATTATTATTATTATTAAAAAACTTGTGTTATGTCTTTTTTATGGTTTACCCGTTTGAAATATATTTTACAAAGCAGTTTTTGGTTTAAGAAAAGATTTGAACAAGAACCGCGGAAAAATGAAACTGTGGTTTGCAATCCGCGGATAGAAGAGTAATGTTTTAATTTGATCCACCATTTTTCTTTTTTTTTTTTTTAGAATGGCCATGTGTGGGACGTAAACGAATGCACAGAGTGTCATTGCAATTCTGGAACAGCTGTCTGCAATAAAGAATGTGCCATAACTTCTTGTAATGACGTAAGTACTTTTACGACTGTCAAATGCGAAAACTCCCAAGAAATCGAAACATCTCCAAAGTTATGCAGAATTATTCCAGAATAATTTTTCCGGTGATTTTTTAAATTTCTATTTTGATCAAATTCAC